AAACAAGCTTCCTTATTTTCTTTTTCTGTGGAAAACTAGGGGAAACATATCTGGACATTAATAATATCGGTAACACTTTACCATAAGAGAGATTATTGGCTCACATTTAATCTTTGTTATAAAATGACACAAACATGTTCTGGTTGTAAAGATAATTCCAGTGTCATGCAGTTCTGTATCACATGAACCGTACGTTTCTCCTGCCATCTTTTCTGTCCTTATTCACGTTAACCATTTTTAATTGCTTTGTTAACTACTACATATACAGGTATTTAAAAATGAACTATTTTTGTGCAGAATATCTTAAGCTCTGGGCTCATTTTTCCTCCTCCAGTTTGTTTCTTACTCATGTCTCAGCCCTTTTCCTTCCTTATCTTGAATGGTGTTATGATCAACCAATCCTGACGATGTCCTGTAATAGCCTGTGCACAGTGCGACAGGAGTGACGTGTAAAATCAAGGCAGAGCAACTGCATGGAATAAACACTGATGTACTGTACCAAACTCCTCGTTCTGTTTATATGTATCTGATGTTTAGTTTAACTCGAGAGCTTTGTTGTGCATTTCAAAGATGCTGTATATCCTTTATAGCCATAAATACGTTCACTTATGCATGAAGTACGAAGCAGAACAGAGTTGAAGTGCCAGATAACTTATCTAAAATAGAGTTGCATGTTCAAAGTTCACAAGTTTTATTGCATTTGCAGTTTATACCGAGGATGAGGTCTTCAGAGTATTGCAGCCAATGAGAATCTAAAAAAAAATGTAGGTTGCATTTTCCTAATTTACTTAATTGCATGAAATATTACCGATGTAAGTTAGCTTTTTTATAATGCAGTTGACTTGAAAGTATTTTAACGTGTCTTTATCAGGTGTAAAACAAACACTACTTAATCCCAGGAAACAAAACATATTATAACATCCCATAATGTTATAATAATAATATAAAAAGTGTGGGACTGCAGTTTATTTGTTGTAAAATTTCAATTTAGTTTTGTTATTTGACATATTTCAATTTCACAAAGACGTATAGGTATGTTGGGGCGTGTTAGAACGAGCCGTTTTAGGTAGGCGTGGCTGACTCTTAACTTTTATAAAGAATATCTCTTTGGATTTGAGACTTTAGTCTTTGCAACTTCACAGATCTTCTTTATGCACCAAGAGCTTGTAACACTCCAAAGAGAAAGGAAAAATTGAAATCGCATCATAAAAATCTCATTTTGTTAAAAAATAAAATTGTGAGAAAATCGTATCGCATTGTGAGTTGAGTGAATTGTTACATTCCATTTAGATTTAAAAAAAATATAGCACAAAATGGCAGCTTTAATAATTAAAAAAACTGCATTTCAGTCAGAGATGCATATTCAGGCAAAAGTTGTTCAAAGTTATAATAATGTTCATGGAGTGTTTTTTCTGAAACGTTTTAGTTGGATGTTCATCTTACGTATTTAAAACGTTACTACTTGTAACTTTTTTTCAGAATGTTCAAAAACATTCACAGGTAATATTCACATAATGTTTGCAAAATAATGAAATGGAACGTTCCCTTTCTGAAACGTTTTAGTTGGACGTTCATTTAATGTATTTAAATGTTGCTACTTGTTTCAGAACGTTCAGAAAACATTCAAAAGTTACGTTCACATAATGTTTGCAAAATGGAATGTTCCTTTCTGAAACATTTTAGATGGACATTCATCTAACACAGGGCTATTCAATTGGGGTCGCACATACACCTTGTTTTTGCACTAATTAGTTTATCCACAAGGTGGCATCACTGGCCCAGACCGTTGTTTCACAGCTGAAAAAGTAAAGGAAGAGACGGAACAACAACAACTTTCTGGAGACCACAATATCAATAGACGGCAGCGTTGACGAGCTATCTGAGGGTTATGAGATATCCACAACTCTAGTTTAAACGAGTATAAAGACAGTGTTATCCGTCTTAACTTCTGGCGAGAAATAGCGCAGACACTGAACGAAGATGATTATCAGATGGAGTACAGTTTGAAAGGCTGCGCGTTCTGCTGTACGCATGCGCTGAGCCGCTTCAGACAATGCGCCAGTAGCGCTTTAAAGGACAAAAACACACACAATTGTCAAAATGCGCATTTGCCGAGTGACCTTGTAAACACGGTCTTAAATGAGTTATAAAGTCCAAAATGTCCATCTATATTTTCCTCTTAAGGTATACTACATAAAAACAATTTATATAAATTATACATTTATATAAATTACATTTTATTAACATTTTTTTAAATTATTTGTACAATGACAATATAAAGCCAATTATTCTAATTTTGCAAACAACGGTTAATAATGTCATGCTTGCTATTTTTAAGTTTTAAAATCTCTGCAATATATTAACCTTGGAAGGACTGCAGATATTTCTAAAAGCACAGACTAAAAAACAAGTAGGCCTAGTCTATTTAGTAATCAATCTCCACATCAATAGCCCAGGTTCCTATCTCAGTATTAAATGCAAATCACTGCCCTTTTATATTATTTTTTTTAAATATGACCTTGACATTTTCTTTACATGGCATCAGATTATTAATTTGCACTATATTAAAAGCCATAAACTGAATATGCAGCATTCATTAAGTAAGGGATAATGTACATCCAGCCGGTTGTTATCTCCGATTATTACACGGCTCTGTGGAATACTTGATTCTGATTGGTCATCCCGAGGTATGTTATCCCTCGATAACAACCGGTAAAAGCTGATAACACAGGCTCATCCGGGTAACAGCAGT